AAAAAGAAAAAAAGCCAGAAGTGGCGCTGTGGCTCAAGTGGTAGAGCACTCGCCTTGAGCTGAAGAGCTGAGGGACAGCGCCCAGGCCCAGAGTTCAGACCCCACAACTGGACCAAAGGAAAAAAAAAAAAAAAAAGATTAGAAGCTTGTAGTTGAGTACAGTGGCTCAAGCCTATAGTCCTAGTTACTCAGAAGGCTATGGGCAGGATTTGAATTTGAGGGCATCCTGGGCTACATAGAAGGGCCCTATCTAAAAAAAAAAGTTTTCAGGATTCCATCTCAACCAAGGCTGGGTATGGTGGCATGTTCCTGTCGTCCCCATAACTGAGGGAAGCACAAATAGGCTAATAGTCCAGACCCTACCTTGAAAATAACCATCATGGGAGAGAGCAAGGGAAGGACTGATAGTGTCCAAAAAGAAATGTGCTGTTTACCTGACTTAAGTAATTGTAACCTCTTTATAATAACAATTTTTGTTTGTTTGTTTGTCAGTTTGGGGCTTGAACTCTGGGCTTGAGTGCTGTCCCTGTGCTATCCAGCTCAAGGCGAGCACTCTACTGCTTGAGCCACAGCGCCACTTCCAGTTTTCTAGTGGTTTACTGGAGATAAGAGTCTCACAGACTTTCCTGCCCGGGCTGGCTTTGAACAGTGATCCTCAGATCTCAGCCTCCTGAGTAGCTAGGATTACAGGCATGAGCCACCGGCGCCCGCCTATATAGTAACAATTTTTTTTAAATTAAAAGGGCTGGTGGTGTGGCTTATGTGGTAGGTCCTAGGCCTAAATTTAAACCTCAGTACTTATTTTTTTTAAAAATTAAGGAGTTGGAAGTATGGCTCAGTGGTAGAACACCTACTTAGCAAATGTGAGTTCAAGCCCCAGTTATTCAAAGAAAAATTTTTAAGTACATTACTGCAATTTAGTACTAAATGTCATGATGTCCTCTTTCAGACTCCTAGTCTTCCAGCTCCATTTTAAAAGAATGTCAAACTTCCTTTGACTTTTCTTCCTTAGAAGAATTGTCTGTTCCATTGTATGGACTTGTGATACTAAGGGGCTTTGCCCCTAATGCAGAATGCTGACAGCATGAGCAGACTTGCTTTCACTTCAGACTGCTGCTAGTGCCAACCCAGTTTGTATTTTTCAGGAATCACCCATTCTAATGCAGGTGTGGTCCTAGTTCCATCTTTCTCCTTTCAGTGTACTCAAGCCTGATCCCCCAGGATTGTGTTGAAAGAGCTGATAGAAACAGTCTTTTAGATATGACTGCTGAGAGCCTTATGAAATACTTCATAGGATATCTAGGTGAATTGTTATACCTAAGAAATCTTTCCTAGACTACTGCACTAAGCTTCATTATAACCTTCTTTGTGAGGCTAAGAGGAAAAAATTTTAAGAAAAAGAACCTAATACATGATGCATAAGATAATATTTCCATCTAACATTTGAAAACATCGTGGCTATAGTATTCCTCAAGTCCTTACAGTTAAAGAGAAAAGAAATAGTCCCCATAACCATCTTGTTTACCTATTTAAACTGAGTCATTATGGCTAATAAACCTTTCTACAAAGCCCTCAGTTACGAGAATAGACCTTGTTTGTTCTTGCCAAAAAATCTGGACTTGAAGAGTGGAATGAAAGCATTATTTTGGTTTGAATTGTTGAAATGCCGTGGATTTGAGAGCTAGGGGATATAGCTCAGTAGCAGAGTGCTTATATAGCAAGAATGAGGCCTTAGGATTGATTCCCAACACAGAAAAACAAATATCATGGACTTGAAAGAACTTGAGCTAAATTTTGATAGAAATGGGAACCAAGCTGTTTTATTGTTCTGAGAAATCAGGTCTGGCTCCTATGTGCCCTATGGTCTTTTTTTCTCAGGCTTCTAGTGCATTCCAGCAGTTTGAGATTTAAACTATATAAAGCCAAAAGATTGGTGTATTCTGTTCTATCTGGCCTTTCTCCCAGTTGTTTTCACTGATGGTGGGTTTGGAAACATTGCTGGCATTCCCTCAGCTTTGGCAGAGCCAAAAGAACAACAGTGAGAACTTTTATAAACACTGCTTAACAGCTCTTTTTTATGTCACTGGAGAAACCTATTTATTTCCTTGCAATATCTATGCTTTTACATATGAATACATCTACCAGCATGAAAGGAAAGAAGACTCCCCAGACATTTTGCAATATTGGAATCAAAGATCCAATTTCTGAGAGATTCTCATCTTTTTCTCCCTGTAGATTGTGTTGCTATCTCTACCTACAGTAGTCTTAGGACTATCAGCCCCAGTTACTTAAGCATACTCTGACTCAGCTTTGAAACCTATAAAATTAAGATTTATGGAACATTTCTTTATTCCCCATAGGGACTGATGTCTAATTCATCACCAAAAAGCTAGAAGTTGGGATGGGAATGGGTAGAGTGCTTGCCTCGCATGCATGAAGCCCTGGGTTCAGTTCCTCAGTACCACATAAATAGAAAAGGCCAGAAGTGGTACTGTGGCTCAAGTGGTAGAGTGGTAGCCTTGAGCAAAAGCAGTTCAAGCCCCAGGACAGGGCAAAAAATAAAAATAAAATAATAATAATAATAATAAACTGGAAGTGGAACTGTGGCTTATGTGGTAGAGCATTAAAAGGTTGGGGACAGCACCCAGGCCCCGAGTTCAAGCCCCAGGACTGGCACCAAAAAAAAAAAGGAAAAAGAAGACAAAGGAAAAGGGAAGAAAGAAGAAGCAAGAAGAAAAGTAAAAGAAATCCTATGAGGCATCTGCTCTACACTAGATTTTTTATTTACCACATATACTTACCAACTCTAGTGCTATTTTTGAAAGGGAGCTGTTGGGCCCCACTTTCTGGCCACTCCCATTTGAGTATCTGTGGAAGAACTCTACAAATGACTTACTATTTAATCTTCGTTCATGGTGTCTTTCCAGTTATAGATAAGGAAATAGGCTTAGAGTATTTAAGTAAACTGCCAGAAACCACAACATGAGCCAGTATTGAGATCTGGCTCAAGGCCTGGCTGACTGAAGTTTGTGCTCTGTTTACTCAATTAAAGAAATAGCAGAACACACCTGAGCTCTTTGCATGCAGGTCTCAGAGATACGTAGGACAGTCCCTTCCTTTTTTTTCTTTCCTTTTCCTTTTGTTTTTAAATTTTTTTTGTTTTGTTTTGTGATAGGGTCTTGCTACATAGTTCAGGTAGACCTGTCTCAGCTTAGAGGTCAAAGGCTGGGTTTGAGGTTTGGTATTAGAGGTATGTACCACTTCTCTCCTTTGCAT